TCTTCTAGAAAGGTAGGAGGCGTGGCCTAAATCTGGGAAGGTTCTGGATGCGTGACCATGACTTTACTGAAGGACGTACGTGAACTAAAGTATGATTGCGCAATCGAAAAACTGCTGGACACAAAAGGACCAAAAGATTGACATTTCCATTGTGCTCTGAAGTTTTTTCCAGGTCATCGTTTTCTTTCATCACATTTCGAAGAAGTCACCAGTAGCCAGAGAACCAAAGTACAATAACACTATTCGGCTAGATAATGAGATAGACGACCTTGTGATGAGGTAAGAGTCAGAGAGAGAGGTGAGGTGGAAGATATGAAGGCTTCTGTCACAGAAACAACACAAGCATCAAGATGAATATAATGTAAACCAGCTCGGCCACCTGCCAATCATGTGCAATGTTGGCGTGGTGGTACGGTTTGACGTCTGATTGACGTGATTAGAGGATCACGCGGGAGAACGTAATGTCGAAAACATTTACTAATTTACTCAGAATATTTACCGTGACATCATTTTCATACGTGGTATGTTGCTCGAGGGTACTCGTGCATTCTTTGATGCAGGTGGTTTGTGTTGTGCGGTGGGAGGGGGGGGGCTTTACCACATACGGATGATGCAAGGACGCTATTGCAGTGCATATTGCTAGACAAGAGATATAGTGTGCCAACTGGTGATTTGCGGAAACTTTATTATGATTACCTGCAATGTGTGATGTCGTTTTCTGCTAGTCTCTGCGTCTGATCTAGCTTGAAATCCAGTCTTGTCATAGGTCCAGCCTCAAAAAAATTTCGGCTGGATTGCAGGGTAGGTCTGATCAAGGTGATAACTGATGACACGCCACACTGAATATATGTCACATTGCTTGATATCGTACAGAAGTAGATTTGCCTCTTAAAACTGATGAAATATTTTAGAACTGTTAATAGATAAATGTCAGCAAGAACAACTATGTATGTACATGTTGCCATACCTGTTACAAGTGTCGTGCAATAAAGTTCGTCTTACTGGTAGCAATCCCCATGTTCACGAGTCCGTCTGTAATCATACAATGGGTCCTGTGATAGAGGTCTTTAACATTTATACAATTACTAAGAAGAGGAAGTCGAAAAGACTAGAATACATTAGAAATTCATACATACATGTAATAATTTTATGTATATAGATATATGTATATGATTGTCATTGTGTGACCTTTGCTTAGCCCAGTGGGCAAAATGCACAATAAAGGTCTTCATTCATTCAATAATGTAAAGTTTCTGTTGTCTCGTTGCTCTGTTTTTTTTTTTAATTAAGCAACATAAAAAGTACAAGACACAGTAGTGCGCAACTCTACCTACTCGCTACCCTGTCGGATAAAAGCTTACATCCCATCACAGCGTCTTCTAGTCTGGTAACTATGTCATCGGTATCTATACGATACTACGAGAGTTGCACTCCCGCCAAAGCCCATTAGCGCGCAGTCAAGTGAATCAATAAGTTGTTGCTTTCAATTACTTTATTTATAGGCTATTAGAAAAACTTTTAAAAAGGCCTAAGCGGAGCAGCCTCGGAAAAGGGCCACCTAATGGTTCCCGGGCTAAGAAGCGGTCCTCAACAGGTGGGACCGACAATAATTGGCTACATTAAGAGGTGACTATGGGTTCAGTTACAGACCTCGTGCACTTTAGTAAACGTGCACCTGAGTAGACATGGTATTTGACGTAACAAGAGGCTTGTAAACCTGATGAGGTAGAAAATGCATCGTATACATGTACCTGACACAGCATGTAAACAAAGACAGATCTAAATTCTAATGGATCTAAACTCCACTGGCCCGGGCAAACCTGCGACAGTCTATCGTGTCCAGTGTTAGTTTGGCTAGACAAACTGTCCATTTGACCGGTCAGTACCCGAAAGTAACCCCCGGCCTGTGGAGGAACCTTGAAATCGTAAAAGGTGACCCCGATTGAGACTGGAGCCCAAATGAACGTGAAATGCCCTGCAGTAAACCCATGACAGACTAATGTGGCGGAATAAATTAGTTGGTAATGCGATGTACTATTGCGACATTTCTATTAGCTTTGCTACGTGTAGTATCCGCTGAAAAAGGTGAAAGCTCAAGCCAGTTCTACTAAGACCGTGTTTAAAAGTTATATTGCAGTTTAATGTAAAGTCGCCAGGAAGCGATCATGCATGTGATGCAGAAGCTGACTGAAGTATATATATAATAGCGACATTCAGACTTGTTTTCTGTCATGTTGGTAAAAAGTAACGTTTCATCAGCTGTTGTTCATATAATGAACGCTATCCCTATGAGGAAAAACGCTGACCAGAAGTTCATCTAACCACCTGACTGGTCGACTAGCTCTATTTTAAGACATTTTAATAGCCATACGTACTAGCCACTGCCCCAGGCACAATTTTTGGCAACACCTCTGGAACGGATCCTTCATGATCGAGTTTAAAAGTTCTTAAAATTCAAATCTCTTGTCTGCCCCTCGCAGACACAGCGTTCGCAAAGTGCATGGAGAAAAACTGTCCATTTTTCGACAAAATGACCCTTTCTACATCTTCTTTCTTGGTTTCCTACACTCTAGATAAACATGTCTTTAATAGTCATTATTTTTTAAGAAAGCATTGTTTGGGGCAACAAAATCTGGCTCTAAATTGTTCAATGCATCATGTCGAGCCATAATCCCCCTCCAGATGGCTAGGTCAGTGTCCTCAGAGGTAACAGAACTCTGTGTTTCTCGGGCCTTAAATCCACATTAGTGACGGATCATTACCGAAGTAATTACCACCATCACCAGTGTGTGCAAAATAGTCGTAAACTTTATGAGGTGGAAGATCACAAGGTCGCGCCTACAGGTATAACAGGTACGTGTGCGTGACTGCGTAGACCTGTGAACACCTGTATCTATTACGTCCAGTACTGAGTTAGTGCCACGGATACACAGTCCACTGCACTGGATACTAATGTTTCCAAATTAAGTTATCTGAGGGTAACACGTGAGTGACATACATGGTGTAGTGATTGTTTGTCAACCACAGTGCAAGGATTACTGTTGTATATCCATACAATGTAGTTTGTTTATGTGGAAATCTGCAGGCTAAGGTTGTTTTGATGACGACAAGTTGGAAACGTTACAAAAGGCTGGCCGCCAGTTCCGGGGATAGACAAGTTTACACTTCGGCACACTACAGACACTGCTTACATCATTCTACCAACGTTCGAATGCGTATGGATTTACGCATGTCTTTAGAGTGCTTGGCGGATATGACGTAGTCATTACGTGACGCAAACAGCTTTTGTAGACGTAGAACTCCCCCTTTCACAAAGAACAAACTTTTTAAAATACGTTTTGTGTGTTATCGTCTTCTAAATCTTTTTACATCTTGCAGCATATTCATTTATGACATCAAAAGTAATACAATTCGGTGTCTGTACAGTTGCCACTCAAGAATCGCTGTCTAGTAGACAGGGGGCCTAATAATCTCCAAGCAGATCTTTTGGTGGCTGCAAAGACAGAATCAAATTGGCCAGGCAGTATCCATTTGCCAGACAGTTACCACATATCGCCACCAAAATGGTAATTGTCTGGCCAATTTGATTCTGTCTTTGCAGCCACCAAAAGATCTGCTTGGAGATTAGGGGCCTTAACACAACTGATCAACATTCTTCAAATTCCACCCGTGCAGTCCCAGGGAATAGGTGCGTGTTAGTAGTCTCAACGACATCCACCTTAGCCACGACTTCTTACAACAGTAATTACAGTACTCACCGGTCTGTAAAAAATGCTCATAAACTTTCTGAGGTGGAACATCGAAGGTAACACCTGCCACAAGTACAACAGGTAAGTCAAGCTAGGCAGGTAGACGTATAAACACTACTTTATCTAAATCTGCGGGGTAGCATATATCCGGGATTTTTTAAAAAGGAATATTTAGGGGTAAATGCTAGATGCAAGATCAGTGACGCCGCCAGAAATGCGAACTTGACAGCCTAACGTATTCAGAACAATGTCTGAAAAGCTAAGCTTCGATAGCCTGCATTCGAAGACCACGACGTCAAATACCTCCAACCCTAGACAGGGACCGACTGACTTCGTCATGGGAAGGTTTGATCTTCGATCGCTTGAACAAAGCATGTTTTTAACGCAGTCGTATGGAACTTAACAGTCGTTTCGTCGAGAGAAGGACCTTTGGTCGAGATATTTTTGGGCTTGCAATATTTTTGTATCAACAGGACTAGAGACGAACTACAACATGTCTAGCATCAGTGACAAAGGTTATCAATAATATCGGCATGTAAAATAAGGAAAGTAATGCTGGTTAATTCTTTCTCCAAATCGGTGTCAATTATAACTGTTAACGAAAATGCAGCGTTAAATTCTAATGGACGCAAAACCAGTACGCGCCTCGATCTGTTGATTACACCCAGCTATCAACTTGACAGGTAGATTGAACCTGTTATTTTGAAAAGGTTATAATGTTACCGGTAACAGAAGAATTTTTGATTATTGAAGTAAGCTGAAAAGCAGAGGATGGATTGTGTCGGGCAGCTTATGACGTGTTCCCTTAAGTCTCTATATCGCTTCCTTCTAAGCTGACTGATCTTTAAATAGTCCAGCTGGCCAGAAGGCTGGTCAGATAACGTTATAGCCTCTACTGGGGTTCATAAGCAGCTGGAAAAAGTAGAAAGTGCACCTAATTGGACAGATATATAAATGGCATGCTATGGGAATTGGTCTGCTTAAGAGATTGTACTCCTCTAGCAGACCAACTCCCCTGGCATGTTATCTGTGTCTATTTGCCCAATTTCTTCTCTTCCCAACCACTTCTGAAGCCTGGTAGCGGATAGGACAGGTAGACACTGCCTCTGCCTAAATTTTTGCCTACACCATAAGAGTGGAGAATTTCCAACAGTATTATGATCAAGTTGTATTATGATCAAAGTACGAATGCCGGTATAAAGTATATGAGAGTGTGAAATAAAATAATAGGCTCAAATTCATCCTTAAATATGAAATTCCACTCTTTTTAGAGATCTTTAATACGATGTAGTAGCTCATTTTTACACCACAAGTCATCTTACACAAAGCTATAGGGAATGCAGAGCTTTATCGTATGCAAACACACACATATATATCCATATCATTTTCTTGACAAGTCAGTAATGCCAAATGTTTAACAGAGTTTAATACAACATTATATAAGCTTTAGAAATGACAGTACAGATTCTGAATTTACTCATAAACCATGGCTGGAATAAACTGGAATAAGTCCAAAACTGGAATAAGTTGACTTCATATTAGATCAGCTTCCAAGGTAAAAAGTTAAGTTATCATTGTTCAAAGACTACGTACATAATGATGTAGTGATTAGTGGCAGCAAGGAGAGCTAAAATGGACTGAATGGTGATCATGGGTATGTGCAGAGAACGTGATGGACATATCTATATGTAAGATGACACCATAATCAACAACCATGACAAAAATATATGTACAATGTATATGACATACCATAACTTAAGCACAATGGAAAATAGCAATTCTATTTTGTTTACTCTTCGTGTTACAGAGAAATATTCCACAGCCACACCACTTATAGCAACTAATGAAGGAAAACACAAGGCATACATTGACATTGTATATTGTTAATTTGTTGTCTTAAAAGTGTGACCGATTTTCAAAGAATTCATCTTAGCAATAGTGCCCTCTTGTCTTATTTCTGGACTACATTGAATGTTTCACTACCTTCTTCCCTCCAAAGCTGCCATTTTGCATGATGTTTTAAATTAGTAGTATAGGCAGCAGGGAGAAGGTTAACTTTGAGTTCTAACGGTAACATATTGACTTACCACAAAATATAGACAAACAGTACATATGGGACAAGTTTTATCATCCAAGTCTGATTCAAAAGTGTTTCCTCACGCCAAACCCCACCCAAGAGTCCTGTTGGGTTGACAATGACCAATGTTTCAGTGCAGGAGTTGCTGACGTGCCGCTAACTTCTGGCCTGTGGTTGCGGCTGTGCCTTCACTCTGGTCTTCCTCTCTGTCTCCAGCTGTTTGGCTCGATCCCACACCTCCTGGGACAGGGTGGTCTGGCCGACGCTCAGGGCTAGCAGCCTGTGTCAGGATTTAACATACGTCAGCTGTACACAAGTATTGTCATATTAACAACACCGCAACAGGGGGCTAGGAGGAACTACATGTAGAATTTGAGCATATTCCCTCCCCGAAACTGCATGCCAAGGCAGACGTTTCCCCCGGACCCAGTTTTCAAGGTGATCATTCAAGTTTGCAACATTTTTCTTTACATCAACAAATCCAGTTGGTATAGCCTTAGAAAGAAGATGTTGGTGAGGTTAACAACTGATTGTGAGGCAAGGCAATGCCTTGAACACATTACATTCAACAACAACAGCATCTTGAGAGAAAGATAAGGATCACAAGAAATGAAGAGAGCTATATGGCAAGGCATATCCCTTTGTGACCTACCTTGCCACCACTAGTAGTGAGTGTAGGTCCTCTGCAGTCATGTTTTTGGGGTCGTCACTGCGCATCTTGACAAAGTCTTCTTCAATCACCTGCAAAATACCAACAACTCATCGTCATCATTTCAGGGTGTTATTACTCCTACAGAGGAACCCCTCCCTTGACTGACTCCAGTCTTTTCTTAGTCTGGCAGTCTTGGCCATGTAGGATCCAGATGTTGCACTAGGTTGTCTCTCCATCTCGTACAGGGCCGCCCTCTGTGTCTCCTCTACCAACAACTCATAAACATGACAATTAAAACCAATTTTAGTTGTCTTATCTTCTTTTAGAAAGACATTCCACTACAAAAATCCTGTCAATGCTACAACAATACAACAATATTGGCTGAGATATTAAAATATATCAAAATCAAACTCAAAAGTCACTTGTCGTACATTTACACTTTTCATCGATGTGTTGTTTCAGTATTTTTATTTCTTACCTTCTGCATGCCCTCTGGTAAGGTGTACTCCATGAGCTCCGTGACCGTCAGGTAAGAGCGCACCTTGGCCAGGTAATCTCCTGTCAGGGATGCCTGGATACGGTGGAACATGTTCTCCAGTTGTGAGGGTGGGGAGGGGGGCTGAAGGGGCACTTGGCAGTCGGTCTGCAGAGGTAAAACGTAGTATGGACTTAAATTGACTGAAATGAAAAGCTATAAAGTGTTTTAACTTCTTTGAAACATGATCCTGATTTTCTGATAAAGAAATCAAATATACTTTTGATGCAGAAATACTTCAATGTTTAATTAAAGCTATTACGCTAACAGAAATGTTTTAATATAAAGCTATCTACAAAGGCAAGAAAAAAGGGAATTTTTATGTTTTCATGTTTTTTTGTAAATGTCAAGAGCCTTCAAGTGTCTCTTGCAGACATCTTTGAACCAAAGCTATTTTTCTAACGTGTAACCCACCTGTATGAGAGATCTTCCCTCTGACAGCAGTAGCATTCTCAGGTTGCAAGGAAACTCTGTCTTGTGGAAGTCGAAGTCGTAGTCCACCTTCTGCCACTGCACTGCAGTACCTAAGGCCTGTACATTCATCACTCCTGTAAACACACCATCAGTATGGACGTCAGTACAACAAGTAAATACACTACTCATAGGTGTTACACATTTGGTAGCAAAAAGATAAAGGTCATTCTGGAGCCTTTTTAAGGCCATACGGGCAGTGGGTTGTTAGTTCACTGGCTAGATCATGGTATTTGGAAGACAGAGACCATCTCTCTTCTTCCACCACCCTTTACCTCACAAAAGTCAGGTACCCATTTTAAACCTGGGGAGAGTGAAGAAAGCTGTCTAGCTAGGAATGCTAGTTGATCATAAAATAGTCAGCAAAACCCTACAGAAATATCTTGGCACATTGGTGCACCCACAGTCAAAAATTAGGTGCACAGGTCCAATGCACCCAGTATTTCATGTCCTGCAAATATTAAACACTGTTCTACCACTGCATTAGTAGCATTACAATAAGCACCACAGCTACAGAAGCCAAAAGAGACAAGCTACGTTGTCTACAGCAACAACCGTGTCATCTACAAACACCATTGGTGGATGTGATCCAGATTGTCCTTTGGGCTTTTGTACACAGTGTACCCACCTGTTGTTTGTAACTGCCCAGGTTCCAGCTGTGTTTCATCCAGTACCAGCAGTGTTCTCTCACTCAGCTGAAGCACCCCGCTCAGCAGCCTGTTCGCTGTGTAGTCCTTCTTAGGGGTTATCCTCAGGGAGTTCATGTTGGCCAGGGTTAGAGGTAGAAAGTGGGACTGCAGGAAAAGGCAGCAACATGGATAAGCACAAGGTTAAATACAAGGTACGTCAGTGAAAATAATGTCCTTCCCGCACCAGATGGTGCATAGGGCGGCACCCCTCTCAATTTGGGCCACACAATTTTGTGCAATCACTGCAGTGAATGGCTAGTCCACAGTTAGCAGCACAAGTGTACGAACTACCATACTCTTTCCTAAGTACTGTGTGCCAACCAGAGAAAGCAGTATGTACCATTTTTAACATCTTTGGTAGGTCTCATGACCTACTAAATGCAAGGCCAATACTCTACTCACTAGGCTGTTACACTAGTCTGGTTCTACTACAAGGTATAGGTGATGGTCATTTTCTGAAATTTCTTTGTATTAAAAAAAGCTAACACATCACTGAAAACTACAAGACTTCACCCTTTCCTTCTACACAATTGATAGAAGATATTTCTGTCGAGATGTATTTCTACCTTTGTAGTTAAATCTTGCAGTAGTCTGTACAGTAGTTGGGGATAGCTGGTCTCTCTCGGACAGCCACTTATGTTCAGCGAGAACTTGCCCAGAGCCACCACATCTCTCCTGCCATAACTGACAAACAAGCACCAAAACAGAAAGGTACTGTCAAATCCATCCGAGGTGATGCCAACAAAAAATGACAAGATACTTAAAACGAGCAAATATTCAAAACTCAAAGGACTTTGTTAATTTATTGAAACAAACAATTGAAACAAACTTTAAACTTCTCCCTGACTTATTCCATGACCAACACAAAGTTAGTGAATATGTATGATTTAAAGAAACGAATTCACTTCTGTGAATGTACTTACACAGAAGATATGAGATGCAGCAGCAGATATTCTGCAGCAAGACTGTCTCCCAGCAGAGCTTCAGTCAACAGTGAACACAGTTGTTGTCTTATCTGTGTCACCTCAGACATCAGGGCTGATACACCTTAAAAAGGGCAGACACATACAGTATACCAACCTGTTGTAACTCACACAACAATCACCAGGTGGGAAAGGTACAAATGTACGAGATTCAGGAAACTAAGCATTGAACAAAAATTACAGAGGCCATCCTTCCACCTGAGGACTGTTCTATATCTTTATAGGATCTGAATCTTGAATGTGCCCTTCAAAAATGTGTTTCAGCAGCTCCACCTAGCAACATATGTGGAACTTGCAGCATGGCTGTTTGTCCACTCAGCTAAAACACCTCAATGAATGTTACATTAGGTAAAGCAATACAACATACAGACATCACTAGATAGCTTTAAACAATGCTTAGAGTTAGATGAACAAAGGCTAGCTGTAACAAGTCATTCAGTGTAAAATAGCAAGCTGCTACTGTGCCGCATGCCTGCAATACTTGTGAGTTACAGTTCTACGGGCTATAACGTTACAGATAAAGATACAGATACAGACATCATGAAAACAACGCATTTGCTATTTCAGGAGTACTTACCAGACACGGCCGCTGGTGTGGTGAGGTCGACAGGCAGCCCCGGGTTGGTGTGGACCAGCTTCTGCACCAGGATGGCGTGGAGTCTGGGTACGAGGGAGGGGGGCGGGCTGTGGGCTGCCTGCTCCTCAACGTCCATCATGTCTCCTCCATCCTCATAGGCTGATGTCCCTGTCCTTAAAAGCAACAAACAATGAGTTGTAAATAAAAACAAGACATCAGAGAGTGTTTGGTGTTTTTATAAATCAATTGGAACAACAGAGTAGATTGTATGAGACACTTTCTCCAGGACTAGAACAGAAATCAATACTTCCATACCCCAAGTAACAAGGGAAACCAAACACTGGGACTTTCATGGATGACTGTAAGAGAATGGAAGGTGAGGTGAAGGTGAAGTGTTACTTACTCCCCAGTTCCACTGTTAAATGTAGCCAATGCAGGGTCGATGGACAACACACCAACAAACTCAACAACATCATTCAACTTCAGACTGTCACTGCTTTGATACACCTGCAATACAAACAACACATTGATTGGTTAGGAGAATAACAAGACAACAAGTTTGAAATATCAAAAAAAGTTACAGTGTTTATAGTCTGTTTCTGATCTCTTAAACAGTTTGTTCATAATACAGAATAGACATCTTTATAGATACAAATTTGATACTTCTTGATCCAGACCTTCTTTCCACCAATTAAGTTTTTGCAAACTGTTCCTAATACTACAGTAGTTTAAACTTTACCTTCACAAGGCAAGCTGGGCCTGTCTCGCCTGGAAGTGGGAAGTTTAAGTCTGGAATAGGGCTGGGCAAAGCACCTGTGACAATGGGATAAAAAAAGGGTTTGTTACAACTTTTTTTTTCTCAAAAACACAGACCAGCATATGACATTTTAGTTTACTTCTGTCTACCTAAGATATTTGCATGCTTTTCTCTTTTTTTTTCCTGGCAAAACAATATTTGGTGTACAAGGTAAGGTAAAGGGTGTATGTTTTTGTACCAGCTTCATCTTCTGTTCTTGTCCGTTTGGCCTCTGTGTTCTCAGCTTCAGGTGTGTCTGATACTTCGGTGCTGCAGTTTGGACCCTCGGTGCTAGGGGCGTTGTTGTTGGGCTGAGGAGTCTGATCTTCTTCCTGGCGAAATGTGATAATATCAATCAATTTAGGTAGAATTTGATAATGAATTCAATCACATTAAAATGGCTTTATGAAAATATTGCCTTTATTGTCTATATTGATAACTGGTTTAAATGTAATCATAAATGACAAGGTAAAATTTCCAAAATCTTTATTACTTAAGATAATACATCATGTCTAGTATTAAATAAAGCAAAAATACAAGTAATACACATATGTGCACACACACAAATGCATGAGAAGTGACATATATGACAAGTCCAAAAGCATTCCAAAGTCCTACCTCTTCCAGCCCTCTCTTGTTACGGACAGGCTGGTAGGATGTGGAAGGCACGACGCGCGCCTGGCTGGAGTTAGTAAACCCCTGTTTGACCCAAGAGTTCTCTCCCGGCACAGGCACGCAGTACAGGGTCTGACGGTCAAGGGTCACGTTCTGGGGCGAGTCCAGGTCAATTTCCTGATGGGGCTGGAAGCAAAGTAAACAACAAACACATATAGTAAACACAAATAAACATTGCTACTCAGTTATACATTTCTATACTAGTTTAAATCTATGCCATACCTTTTTCTAACACATGCAATTATACATCTTAGCACATTTTATTTATTTATCTATTTATTTCATCTCAAGACGGCTGGGTAGCCCCAATTCAGCTTGAATCAGCTGTTTTCCAAGGGGGCCCAGCAAAATTACACAGGACATAGTAACGTACAGTAAGACAACATACAGTAAACATAAAAGTCCGATTCGTCAAAACAGAGTCGTAGTCCAATACTCAAAGTCCTAGCCGTTCAAGGTCAAAAGCACGAAAATCAAGTTATGCTTAACACCTAAGAAGATTTTGTGATAACCTTACTTCATCATTTTGGCACATTTCTGTTTGTAAAAGCAACACAAAAAGTTAAGAATTAAGATATAGCATGGAGAAATCAAAATCACAATACACCACACACACAACCATAATGTTGCCAAGCTTTCCCATTCTTCCCAACTTACCAGACATTCTGCAATGTCCTTGTATCTCCCACTTCTCAGAGACTACAATTTAGGATGATAAGAAAAAAAAAGAGAGCACATTACAGGTGGTAGATTACAAGAACCTATAGCACTATATTATTGTAATACATGTTAGCAACAACTCCAAGCCCTAATGGCCAAATAGAGCAATTTCGAGTGTAAATAAAGGCATTTCTTTGAACATTTCCCTTTGACAGTATTGGATTTTGTGTACTTTGAATGGAGAGTATATACATGTACTTACTTTAGCTCCCAACTTGGTGTCCGTGACCTCGTACACCCCCAGGTAGAACTCTGGGTCGAACATGTCCTGCACCATACAGCGGAACTTCACCAGACTGTTGGGCTTCAGGTGGTGCAGGGGCGTGTCATTCAGCGACGGCACCTGCCAGAAATGGACAAGGTTCTTAGTCATTCTTAGATGGAATTTAATATCTGTTCACAATTCATCATCATCATCATCTACAATACTGCTAGCCTGGTTACCAAACCTAGATTATGGCTCTCGAGTCCTACATCCTCTGTGCGAATATCTGGGTTTGGTAACCAGATTACATTACTGCTGAGCTTCGCAATACAGAAGATTACTGCCAGCTACACATTGTTATTACTGGTTGGGGAAAACAGAGGTTGGAAATAAGGGATAGACGAGGACATGTGCAAGCAACAGGACACGTGCATTTAAATCTGTGAGTTGATATTTACATATGTACAAGGAGGGGGGGGGGGTCAGCTCAATGCAGAAAAGCCCATCCCAGCAGGGTTTTGAATTGGGAGAGGATTGGGCCTGTACCAATACATGTACTAGTACATTTGTAAATTGATGTAAATTCATGAGAACAAGCAAGGAAATTATGCTTGGAGTCGATTCCAGACTGTTTTAAAGCTATGGTAGCTATGGTAGCAGAGGCTGTTAAGGTTATATCATATGTTAATTTATCGTTTTACCCAGGCCAAGGCATCTTTTCCCTCCAGTCTGTTCTGGAAATATTCCCCGACTTTCTGCGGCAGGTCCGAGTCACCGTGTTGGTCTGTTGGACAGGAGAAAAATATTTCATAGGTACAATAATTATATTAAAAATACAAGCTTTAATAAATAAAAGAACAAAAACTGACATTTGTTCTTTGTTTCAGAGTTCCACTGACATATACCGGTAGTCCTGGTGTCTTGCCTATTAACTGATCTCTCTGTGAAATATAGAAACGCTGAATAAGTAGTAAAACGTGGACATAATACCGTATGGACGATCTCGAGTGTGTCACGATTCGAATTCAGAACCACATGCATGTTATAACACGTTTGCTTGACAATGCAATGGACTTCAATCGATATCTCCACTCACCAAAAATCCCCTGGATGATTCCCAGAGGGTTGTGCAGCCAGTCTTCCACAGAAGGCATCCTGAAAATTTTAGCAGTCGGATAGAGGGTATGCAGAGGGTAGGAATCTGCGAGATCCTTTGCAGGTCTCTTCTCCGTTTCGCGGCAAATTTTTGACGATGGCGGGAAATTTGGTAACGTGATCTTTGGACTCTTTCATTTTTGGAAAAATAGGGGAAGCCTCAACAAGATAAAGGATTTTTAGAGTATTAAAATGCCTAATAGATATCATTTCTCAGACTTACAGATTTATAATATAATATTTATCAAAGTACATATTCTTTGAGTTTGTATTACTCTCTCAATTTAGGATTTTAAAAATCTTTTGTTTAGAATATCACCTACTGACTTAGTGGTGTCGTTATGATACTCTGACCTCAATTCACCCCAATGATCATTTCCGCTTCCTGTTTCCGGCTCGACGTGTGCAAGACAAGATGGCGGACAAGAATAACCTTCCGCAAGCTTCGCTACTTTTCTCGGGTTCGGACAACTTCAGCTTCCCTCAGCTGAACACCTCGGCCACCCTGGTGCCCGTGGTGGGACAGGAGGCCTCCATGATCCCGTCAGGTGAGCCCGAGGTCGCACTGAAAGGGCGGGGATGGGGGTTATGGTGTTACCACATAGACAATCAAAATTTTATAAAGATCTGCTTTCGAGCTTTCCTAGAAATTCGATTTTTGTTGAATATACGGAAGTCAGTTCGTCATGTGTCACTCTTATTTTCCTTACCATAGCTAGTCACACATGGCCTTGGTAAGAAATTCTACGAAGCTTGTTGTTGTCACTTATCACTTTCTATTTGTGGAATATTTGCGAAAACACCACCACGGAAGTGATCAAATATGTCTAGTGTCCCAGCTGTTTACACTTTAAACAATGATCAAACAAAAATATTTCAAAATTATCTATGGAGACTTTGCGAGATTGCTGTCAGTTATATATAGGCAACAACGCACAAATAGCAATCCAAGAAATCTGAGGACGAATAATATTATTTTCACACCTACATGCAGTAATATTTACTAGTACATGCAGTAATTTAATTAGTACCATTGATGATATGTTTGGAAACTTCAAAGCATATTTTCAATTTTCTTTTTATGGTGAGCATGTATGTTTGATTGTTATTGTTTCTTGTGCCCTTGATATGACTCTTAAGTGCTCGAGATTTGTATTTTGCAGAAGAAGAGGGGGAGGCGGACAGTTTCCTGGGTCAGAACAACCCCCCGACATCCCAGCCCGCCCCCTTCACGTTCTTCCAGCAGCAGTCCAACGGGCCAGACCCCTTCTCTCAGATCGGCAGCGACGCCCCCGACCCGTTCGCGCAGATCTCCGACCAACGCCAGCCGCCGCTGATACAGGAGCAACAGCCCGAACTCTTCGCTCCCTCCTCCCAACCCTCCCAGCCTACCCCTCCACCCCCCGCTTCTCAACCCTACTCCCCCCCAGCAGTACTACCAAACCCCTCCCCCTTCTCACACCCCCCAGTCCCAGAGCTTCTCCAGCCCCCCCACAGTCCTTCCCCACCCCTCCCCCCCTCCTTTTTCCACCCCGTCCATGACCTCAGCCCCTCCCCAGGACAACGTGGTCAGACCGACTCCCCACTCCCCACAGTACGCAGAGGGCCTTCCCCCAGGGGTGCCCCCGCCCCCTACAGATTCACAGCTGCAGTCCCAGTGGCAACAGCAAGGGGGCTCTCTGTCAGCCAGCTCCACTGGTTCCAGTCTGGTAGGCACGCCCGGTTACGAGCCGGTCCAGCCACACTGGTTCTTCTGTAAGATAGTGGAGGGACGGGAGGTCTGGCTGCCGTTCTCTTTGCTGGACTCACTCCGATTGGAAGAAGCCTTCTCAACAGGTGAGTAACTCTGACTTTGGCTTAGTACATGATGAGATATGTTTTTAAAACAAAACTCTATTTGTTTTAAGTTTGTCAACATCGCATGACATTCATCCCTCGTTTTCTTCCCTTTAAGTTGAATGTCCTCAGTCATCATAACTCTGGCATAATACAATAGATACTGCTTCAATTGTCCCTGCACTTACTTGTATAGGCAGATGGTATTTTGAGCCCTGTTTTATGTCGTAAAGATGTTTCTAACCGACACACTTGCCATCCTTATTTATTACTGTCAGCAGTACAGCAAGATCCGGAGAACTACATCATCCCTACAAATGGCGGTCGTTACGACGTCCATCTCAACGAGCGTCTGCGGTACTCCGTGTTCTGGGAGGAGGAACCGTCCATCGTGCGACGGTGCACGTGGTTCTACAAGGGTGACGGTGACAACAAGTTCGTGCCTTATCCTGAGGACTTTTCAGAGAGGCTGGAGGTGGGAGGAATTTTACTAGATGGTCGTCAAAGAATTGTTAAAGTTATTTCTTCTGGGTATGGTAGTGTTGTTTTTGATGGCTGTGCTGTGTCTTTGTGTTTGTTTACAGAGGACGTTGGCAGCCGCTGAGCATTTTGGACGGGGGGGGGGAGGAGATTGACGTTCATTATATCAGCTGGGAGACAGAATGTCTTTTGTGTGATAAGCATTAGGGATGTTCTTTTCAAAGTGCCTAATAATTTTTTTCTGAGGCCAATAGCGAAAGTTCAAGAGTCACTGCATATAAGAGGACTGAATGAGCTGTATCATTTCAGTCGGAGTACTTCAACGCTGTGACGAACAACGCCTGGCACCGTCGCCTTGAGTTCCCGGGCGGCGAGACCATCGTAATGCACAACCCCAACGTGATCGTACACTTCCGACAGACAGCGCAGCCCGATGAGTGGGGAACCACACCCGACGGTCAGATGAGGCCGCGCGTCGTCAAGAGGGGGGTGGACGATGTGGTGGAGATAGAGGATGGTAGGTTTGCTGGATAGGACAGTTAACCTTTGGTTCATCATCTATACTCTTACTTATTGATTAAGATTTACCACAGTTGTGGAAAGGGTTGACATGAGAGACTCCTGCTCTTTTCAGTAAGTGTGGTGGGATCTTAAACTTGTTCGAGGTATGGTTCTTGGGAAAGCCATTGTCATTCTTTCACTTGTTAGTACAAAATTGCCTGTTTCTCCATCTACCTGTAGTTTCTCTGAATTCATGATTATAAGGTTTCACACACTGGTGTTCATCGTTGTTATGTAGGTTGGCCATGGAGGTCAATGAAACAATGCTTGTGTATACTTGATACGGACAATACATGATTCATACAAAGAAACTCAGAAAATGAATGCATTCACAGTATTTGCTCTTGGTCTTCATGACACCACACTCTATATATGCTTTTCAGGCTTTAGTGAGCAAATCAAGAAATGGAGAAACCTAATTACTGATGAAGGTATATGTGCTATAAACAAAACATACTCAGGTGGTGGATGGAGGCAGTTTTCAGCCGTTGATTCAAAATTTTATGTTACTTGGTGATTTTGGATGTGGCCTTGCGGGGTGGTGTAGGTTTGAACATTTCTCTATCAAAACAATTTTTTTAGCAGCCTTCAAAAATACAACTACATGCTGATAAGTTTTCATCCTGTCCTTAATAGTTTACCTCCAAAACACATTTCCTAATTGCAAACCAGTCATTCAAATAGACATAACGGTAGTAAAAAGCTTAAGCCTTAAGGTTGCCCTATTGCTGTGTATTGTACAGGTGAGGTTGGACCTGCAGACCACCTGGTGTTTGTTGTCCACGGTATCGGCCCTGTGTGTGACCTGAGGTTCCGCAGTCCTGTGGAATGTGGTGAGTACAGAGATGACATCTGTAACATGGTCTCCATGGGTTGGCTGTTCCATTTACAATGTGGGGCTTCAAACATTGGTACAAAAAGCAAACCTTTTGTACTTTGTACAGTAAAAATGTTATATTATACATGACATTTCTACACAGTTTACAGTTTGAATGTTACATTTACATTGTTGCACTGTTGGGGTTTTTGGACATTTTGTATATTTAGAACAACACAAGCATATTATGGTCCGTGCAATGTTGGAAATTATGTCATGCATGTGTAGTTATGTTTATTTCTAAAACCATTCAAATATATATGTACCATAGTACCAGTAGATAGGTAAAGCTGATTATGATGGAATTTGTTTCCTTTGATACATACCAGTAACTAACCAAATTGCGATACATGTATTTCATTTTGAAGGACTATGAAGTCAGAGTATGAAAAGCTGTTTAGTTGTTGTGTCTGGTACTGCCTTACAGTTGATGATTTCCGAGCGGTGTCCCAGATGTTGATCCACACCCATTTCAAACACGGTGTGGATGAGGGGAAGGTGCATCGAGTGGAGTTCCTCCCTGTCCACTGGCACAAGGCACTGCACGGAGATGCCACAGGGGTAGACAGGTAGGATGGCAGTCTTCCAGCTCCCCCTATTCTGTGATTTGGACCCCCTATGTTGTGAGTAAGGCCCCAACACTGTCATTGTGGGTGTTTTCTTCTGGGGAGAACCTCGAGATGCTTCATGAATCTTTAGAAAAGAATATTTGGCTTTAGAATAATAGTAATTTGAGTTATAGTCAGAAAGCTTAAGCAGCAATCTAGTTCCAGGGCCATGAATAAGATGTGTAGAATGTTGAGATATAGCCTCAGAATTTCAGGTGCATTCCCTATGGTATGCATTTCTAAATGTCTCCAAATTGCACTTGGATAGTTTCATCTACTTCCATGATAAGGGATTTTGTACAGTACACCATTTTGCAAAAACATTCGACAAAGATGACTTAATTGTTGTGTTCCTGCTCTTACAGACAACTGAAGAAGATCACTCTGCCCAGCATCGGAAGGCTGAGACATTTTACTAACGACACATTACTGGACATCCTCTTCTATACCAGCCCATCCTACTGCCAGGTACAACTGCAGTAATGCACCAATCAGTAATGCACCACCAATACATAAATTATTAATAATTCCTCTTAGCTTCTAAGTTGTAGCATACACATGTATTTTGTAGTTCCAGGGGCACACAGAGTGCAAAATCACAAGACTTGTCTCATGAGTGCATAAAATGTATCAGTGGCAATTTATTTTGATGCTATACATGTATAAGACTTACCTATAGTAACCATTGTTCCTTATGATTATTTTGTCTCATGATTATTAAGCCTTATACTGTCTCATTACTAACTTTCATATTGAACAAGTAATGTCTTTCTCCTGTCTCTCCCCAGACCATTGCAGAAACGGTTGCGTCAGAGATGGACAGACTGCTGGACCTGTTTCTCGCCAGGAACCCACGCTTTGTTGGAGGGGTGTCTGTCGTGGGGCACAGCCTGGGTGGGTAGACACATGGGGCTTATATCTATGGTGGGACACTTCCTGGATGGGTACATTGGGTTGTTACCATATGTGCGGTTTGTGTCTGGTGCTTGTGCTGCATAGCCTGGATGGATTATTATGTAGGGTTTATATCTGTTATGGGCCACCGCCATGGTTGGGTTTGTCACAGATACAAACTTGTTGGGTTTATATCTGTCGTGGGGCACATCCTGGATGGGTTGTATTCTGTATGTGGGTTTGTGTCTGGTGGGGCATAGCCTGGGTGGGTTGTTATTTGGGGTTTATATCTGTTATGGGCCACCGCCATGGTGGGTAGACATATGGGATTTATATCTGTTATGGGTCACAGCCTGGGTTGGTAGATGTGGGTTTATATCTGTGGTAGGGAACAGCCTGGGTGGGTAGATGTGGCGTTTACTTGGTTTATATCGTAGGGGCTGTAATACAATTTTACCCTTAGGTCATCAATGATATGATATATGTAAATGCTATTCCTTTTGCCAAATTTAAGGACTTAACTTAGTTAGGAACTGATGGCTTTGAATTGCATTAGTGATATTGTTCTACAAGATATTTACTTCAGCCTTTTTGTGTTTAGGTTCTTTGATAGTATTTGACCTGCTGGCCCATCAGGGCATGAGTGCGGGGACTCCCCCCACGGAGCAGCAGGCAGGCCCCCCACCGGAGCCTGAACACCAGGAGGAGACCCCAGCTGAACAGCAGGAGGAGACTGCGGAGGAGCAGGAGGAGGCGGAGCTGAGTCTGGAGGACCTGTTCAACAAGCTGGGGCTGAATGAGTACAAGGAAACATTCCAACAGGAGAAGATCGACATGGAGTCACTGGTAGGGCAGAGCAAAAGTTCAATTCAACTCTTTATTATCATCCAAAAGTAGCCTGAATGGTGTTGATATTTACAAAGTTGATAGAAACCTTCCACATTTGGAATTCAAAACACTCAGTCCAATAGGACAAGAGGATGTTTCAATTCTAGTCAAAACTGTCTGGATCTAATAATGATTATAGAAATAAGTTGTTGCCATGTATTGTATGGATGCACACCATTTTATACATTGACTGTGATTACGAGTATGCATGTACATACTATTTGAGTGTATGTTTGTGATGAAACTGTATGTACACAGTGAAGAGAACAAACTTGAGGTTCTGCACATGCTTCACTACCAGAAAACCTGCTGACTACAATTTTGTCCATATTTCCCAGGTCCTGTGCAGTGAAGCTGACCTGAAGGAGATGGGAGTTCCCATGGGGCCACGAAAAAAGCTGTTCGGCTTCCTGAAAGAACAACAGACTGCACAGGTGAGGAATTAGATTGACACAACCTATTCTACAACCTATATATCTTTATACAAAATCTGGTAAATATTGATGGAAATTAGTTTTAATGTAAAGTCTGTGAAAAGCAATACTATATTGCCTGTATTCATTCATAATGATTCAGTCTTTCATCGGAAACTTTTTGGCGACGTCTCAGGGAGGAGCCTAATGGTACAGTATTGTGTGCAATTCGCAAGAATTCTAGGAATTGTACAGGCATTTTGTCCACAGGAATGGAATGTCCACAGGCATTTCTCCGACCCACATCCATGCCCACATTCCTGGAAACCCTTGGGAAGACCTCTCTGCCCCGGATGGCCCTACTTTCTGTAACCCCTGGGCTCGTTCACTATACACTCAGGGGAAGAGTGCACTGTATCTGCAACCACCGTTGCCATGGCAATGTATGTTTTCATTGCCAGTCTTGTTATGCTTGTTCCTAGGAGAGAAAGAAGAGCGAAGCGGAAGACAGGAAGAGAAGAGAGGCTGAGAGGGTTGCACAGGAGGCAGCGAGAAAGGCTGCTGAAGAAGAGAGGCAGAGACAACAGCAGCAGCAGGCAGCAGTAGGGAACGGGAACGTCACATCTGTACATGTGGACTACGATACAGGCCACTCTGGTGTCGGCATGCCACATGTGAGGTAAAGAGTCAAGCCACTATCTCTCAACTCTCTCAATGTGTACACAATGTACTTACATTGGCTTATGAAACAAAAGAAGATTGTTGATGCATTTGCTACAGTTAACAGTAGGCATGCAAAGGTCCTCTTGGTACTTGCGGTTTTGTTTTCAGTTTTTCATTTGCATTTTACTTGAATACAGTAGAGTCACAGGAAGTGAACATGAATGGTGTGACTGCAGACTGACAGAAACATTGTTGGAAGTCATTTTAAAATAGTCTCCCTGCAGGCTGGAAGGAAGTGAACACATTGGAATTTACACAGAACCAATGAGAATTCACAATAATGAATTGATGAAAGATTCCCAATAACGCTAATTACTTTACCATAAAATCTTTCATTGCTTATTTGTATATTATTGTGTATGCAATTTGTGGACATGGGATGCACAATGTAAATAGTTATACGTCTTTGAGACCAAATATGTTCATAACCGATTCTGTCCACCCTTCCCCTCGCCCCAGGTATCCCCAGCTGAAGTTTAACCTGACCAACTTCTTTGCCCTGGGTTCCCCCATCGGGATGTTCCTGGTCACCCGTGGGATTGAGGAGATCGGGGAGAACTTCACCCTACCCACCTGCCCAAACTTCTACAACATATTCCATCCTGTGAGGACAATCTTAGTTCTGTGTTTGTCAAAGAAGTTAGAGTTTTTGCTTTCTGTATTACTATGAGAGTTATGCCCTAGATATTTGTGTAGAGTTACTATTGTATATAGCATATTGTTGACATCAGAAAAAACAACAAAACCTTTGTTATACTTATTGTATTACTTATTTCAAATTTTGCAGCTAGCTATAGAATTTGTGTCCATCATGTTCAAACAAGGGGCCAACAAAACTTCATTGTCTGATGAATGGACTCTGTGTTATTTTCCCTGCCCAGTTTGATCCTGTGGCGTACAGGATTGAGCCCATAGTGAACCCAACAGTCGACGTGAAGCCTGTCCTCATTCCACATCACAAGGGCAGGAAACGGCTCCATCTGGGTGAGTTCAACTCATGGACCTGACATGGGATATCTGAGCAGTACTGTTGCCTTCATGTGATGCAGTCCCTTAACATCAAGAATGCTATCTATGTGATTCCGCACCTTTGAGTTAGTGCTCATTTACTGATAGTTCAGCATGATCAAGGTCAACCTTCTCCATACTGGGGTAGCCTTTTGGCACAGAATTTATTTTAGCTAGCTAGGGATAGGCAGCTGGGAGAAAGTACATGTCAATCAAGCAACATTCAGATTATGAGACTACAAATAGATCAGAATTGCAAGGTTGCATTAATTCAAATAACACAACATATTGTCACATGTATGTAGTTTCTACTAGATTTGTAGAGAACCATTTTAATTCTTCAGTGAGAAGAATCAAGTGAGAATATATGCGTTTTTGATCCCGTTATTAGGTCTAATAGAACTAACTGTAGTATCTAACCCATAAGGTTCTAACAACCAATTTATACTTTCATACAAAACAGAGCTTAAGGAAAGTTTGGCCAGGATGGGTACGGATCTGAAGAGAGCGATCATCGGTGCAGCTAAGAAGGGCTGGACGTCCATCCACGACTTTGCCCGCGCACACTCGGCAAACGAGGACGTCCAGGCTGACCTGGACAGCATGGCGGACAACATTGTACAGGAGATCAAGGAAGAGGAGGAGAGGATGCAAGTCTCAGGTTAGTTAATGAGTTAATATTAATCAGTAATGGGGTGCAGGGGGCTTTGGGTAGAGTTATAGAGTTATAAAGTTTACTCTTACTCTCAATTTCAATATTTAGTCCCTAGTTTACAACCTATTCCACTCCAGGCTACAACCACTGAGCAACCAAAGCGTTGTCAACAAATTTCATGTTTTTTGTCTTTTAAATCATAGTGCATAGTGTCATCATACATTCCAGTTATAAAATCAAGGGTTACACAAACCCAATTTTGGTCACTTAACTGTGGCTCAGGGATCGCCATTTAGCAGAAAGGGGGCCTTAGTAATGAAATTGCTTTTCCTCTCCAGATGCTGTAGAGAATCCACCTCCAGAGGATGTACAAATTGGAAAACTGAACCGAGGCAATCGCATCGACTATGTGCTGCAAGAGAAGCCCATCGAGAGCTTCAATGAGTATCTCTTTGCTCTGGGCAGCCATGTTTGTTACTGGTAAGTGTACATGGACGTGCAGGTCACAAAATTGTTCCAGGAGTTTGATTTTTTTTCTTGGTTTCTTCTGTGTCCAGTGTGCATAGAGATGTAACCAGTTTAAACTTTGTTCCATCACAAAAAAATTAACTCGGCAGCCTTCCTCAGATGAATCGGAAGCCAAAAGTGTGATGACGTCAGAATTGAATCAAAAGTGGCTCCCTTCTTTGTGTTGGAACAAAGTTTAAACTCTACAAGTATGGATTCTACCAACACAGATGAGGTTTGACTCAAAGACACTTTTTTTTTTACAGGGAGTCTGAGGACACCGTCCTGCTGCTGATGAAGGAGATCTACTCCACCAGCGGTGTCCTTCCCATGATTCCCGGGTCACATGATCGGTAGTCGCTAACCCTGTGTTGTAACAGTACGTCAGCGATGCCGTGTGAGGGAAGGGGACCCTTGTAGATATTTTGTTAACTACATGTATTTTAGAAAAGGATATTACAAATAAAGTCAATTTTGGTCAGGGCATTCGAAATCTAATGATATTTACCCTGCACCAATTCAATTGTAAAATGAGAAATCTGCATGTATATCAAGGACAGCAGCCTTATAAAGTTCAAATGACAGTGGGTAGCAAATGCAGCAATGACAACAATATGGTTTGTAGTGTTCTACTATATAGTAACAGAATATACCAACAGAATAAGTGAGCCTTGCCTTGTGTCACTTTTACAGATCAATGAGCTGTTTTAGTGAAGCTGCATGTACTCACTCACTACTTCTAATCAAATGTGTTTAATGTCTGGTTGGCTGTTGACATGGATTTTGAGTATGAGGGTACTACTAACTTTGTAAATGTAAGCTTTACTTTGCTATAAAGGTTATTGGTATATGTGGCAATATTAGTATGGAGCTTGAAGAAGGCTGCACATGTAGGTATAGCCAAGAGTCATGGAGTCTTTTTTCTGTGTTTGAAGCAAGTGTAATTCTGTCAGTTTCCTGTAATTTCAACCGTCAACAATTTGAACCATCAAATCATCAGCACACAGGATTTTGTAGAGCTATAGTTGTCATAGAATGTAAGGTATTGTTTCAGTAAACTTGAGTAGATGTCTTGCTTCATGTGTCCATTGATGTTTGTCTGTTCCAAATTAAAATATTTTTGGGACCCATAAAATGTATTTTAGATTTGATTGTTGTCAATCAGATGAATGTTATGATTTACATGTTTATCAGAAACCTAACTTTGTCAGAAAATACAGGAATTTTTGCCCTTCTTAGCTGCACAAATTTCCATTCACGCTTTGAGGAAACAGAAGTCATGTTTTGGAAGACAACACTTTCAATGACTGGTGTAACAGTAATATTGTAAAAATGTGTACATTTCATAGGAGTATATTAGACAAGTATATACCACTCGGTCCTGTGTGCCAAGTCAATATACAGCCATTATAAATGTAAGCAAGTGGTTATCTAACTGATTTGGTGTATTGATATGTTGAAATCATGATACTTTACTTGCGTATCTGTCATTTATGCATTGTGGGATTGGAAACATGCATCTATAACTAATGTTATTGCTGCTTTCAAAGGAAATCGATGTTTATTTGAATCATGTTTATGTTACAACAAGACCATGGATGACTCTCCCGTGCCAACGTCATTTTTGTGCTTCTTTTGGCCAATAGCTCCATATTTTGGTTTTGGTAACTGATATTTTGCTCGAGAAATGGGATGGCTGTAGTCTTTAACGAAACAGCCATAGATTCCGAGATACAGGTTTTGGCGAATTGATGGTATCATTACCACAATATGGATACCAGTGATGTTTAACCTCGCCAAGTTGAACATACGAAGGATATAAAACATGTCAGTGGTTGTTTTTCTCAGCACCACGATCTGAGAATAAACTTCATTAGATGGCAATGATGAATAAAGTTTCCAATACATGTACCATACCACCCTAATAAGGTTTTCGTGTTGAGATCATTCTTCCTTCAGAGATCATTCTTTTGAGAAATTATCGGTCCTAAATACAATTTCAAGTTATTGATGCTTGCTTTTGTTTGCCTATCATGTAGTCATGGGTGCATTAACTTGTATAGGATTATCCTCGTAGTCGTAATGCTGTTACTTGAGGCTGAAAAGCGTAATGATCTAATTGTTCTGTGCCGGTAAAGCCTTGTAAACTAAATTGGAAAGTGCACGGAGGTAATTGTTAGCTTCTGTCTACTCGATTAAGCCTTCAGAAAGGACAAAAGGAGAAGGCGGAGCTGATTATGCAAGATGCTTGCTACCCCATATATAGGGGCAAGGGCGGTGGGCGGTGTACAAGAAAAACAGTTGGGCCGACGAGTGTGTGAGCTCCAATGAACATTTTTGGCAGCAATGCGCACGATGCTCTCTCGATCATTGCACGAGTTTTAGTGATCGGCAGATGTTCGCAAGCCGTCTTCAATTTGATGAGGTGGATTTTCAGGGCGAAAAGTACGCTCGACTCTTGCGTGATTTTTGAAAGTTGCGACCTTTCGGAAATCAAGAAATACGACCGGCTTTAGGGCACCGTTCTCACGACGCTAGCAGAGAATCCATCTATCTCCTCACCGTCAACAAAAACGGAATGATGTATTACAAAGGTAACTACATTATGGTGACCCTGGTGATCCTCATCGCTATACTTAACGTTCCCTACGCTGGGATATCCCAGGCTGCAGGGGAAGAGATGAATGTCACTACGCAGGCCAGCGACAAAACGGACTGCCTCGAGCTCCACAACTTAACACTGCGGGACGGTTCGGCTGGGATCTGTGACATCCTCTCGGCTACCAACAGCTCTGGGGTGCGACAAAACATCTCTTCCATCCAGAATGACTCTTCTCGTCATTCATCTTACGCAGAAAGGCGAGCCTCTGCCGCACCCATGCACGTAACTGTTTGTCTAGGAGTCTGGACTGTCGTGACAAACAGCCTGCCCCTGGCAGCCATCATCAAGCACGAACAGCTCCACACGCCCGCCTACATCCTCATGGCTAATCTGGCGGCAAGCGACGTCTTTACTGGTGTAGCTTTCGTGCTTGGGATAGGCTCCATTTTGGTTGAAATATATGCCGAGATCGACCTCTCCGACGCCTTGTCCCTTCTCCGCTTCACATCGCTCCTTCTGTCTGGCCTGTCCTCCGCCTACGGTCTGCTGGCCCTGACGGTTGAGCGCTACTGGTTCATCGTGCACGGGATGACCTACGTCAACAACGTCACCAACGACAAGTGCAAGGTCGTGATTGCGATCGGTTGGCTGTGGTCTGTGCTACTGGCCATGTCGCCCAACTTCGGCTGGAACTGTGCTCTTTTCGAAGAAGGTTGCTTTCGACCAGGATTCCCCTACAGCTACTTGGTTGTTGTTCTAGTGTTCATTTTCATCCCGATGGCGGCAATCATCCTTCTCAATGCGGGGGTGTTCTGGTGCGTGTGGAAGCACATGAACGCCATCGCTGCCCAAGAAGCCGCGCTCGGGTCCCCGTCCAGTCTCAACCGAAAATCTGCCATCACCGTCATCATCATCACAGTCGTATTCCTGGTGGGATGGCTGCCATTCTCTGTCAGGATGGCGGTTCTCACTGAAGATGACGTTTCTCATACTCCAATGATGGTCTTCATCATTCTGAACTCGGCACTCAACCCCGTCATCTACGGATTTCGTCTGGCGGAGGTTCGACGCGGCGTTGCACGGCTTTTCGTAAACAGCAGCGGAAACGCCGGCTTGGCTATCAATTGAATAGGGGAAGCCGCGTCTTTCATAATGTCAATGCACCCCCGTCGTGTCAGACAGGTAAAATCGAGAGAGAACTGATGCACAGAAGCAGCTAGGCTGTTACTGGCGTCTCAGGCAACCCTGACAACACAGACAGTAAGAACAAGAGAGCAGCACAAAGGGTAGTGAGCAACGAATTCAAAGAACACTAGATGGCACTCACATCAATACAGAAAGCAGCGGGACAACAAAGTCATGAAATCTTACTAGAGAGTACAGTAACTGGGAACAAGAGTGATTCAGCGCCGGATGACAACAACAAATACGATTTCAGCACCATGGACAAATCTACGGGAGGGAGAAGATAGAGCACGGGTCACCAAGACAATCAGGGAAAGCAAGAAGTGACAACAGCAGGACTCAGATCGCAAATATCTAGCGTTAAAAAATCTGGACAGTGGCAGAAAACAGCGATAGGCAGTCCTCTACATAGAGACGGACGGTGAATTTTCGTTTCAAAGTCTATATGTTTATTATTTGTTTAATATACATGTACTTTAATGTCACTCCTTTGTGATGAAACGCTGCTGAATGCTTGTCAAAGGCATCAAGACATGTGTATCACATCGTAGTGTCACTGTAATGGTCCAAAAAATTGTTGTTTGCAACGTCGATTACATGATTAGCCATGGGGAGATAAAACCATGGGTCGTTTTAAGAAAGAAGATAGTTAGATATAGAATGTATCAGTTGCAATTGTCAGTCATGAATGTGCAAAAACCAGTTCTGTTGGCAGGTTGAACATAAATTGTTTTAGTTACAACACTAGTTTTAGTTGTTTTCGTTTCTGTAATGTTGCTACGTAGTGACGATCGCAAACGGTAATGATGTATTTACCTCCCTAGGCGTAAATAATAAACAGCTGTTGTAATATACTATTTTTTCTTGTCATCCCCAGTAGTTCCTGTATTACTAGAACCTATGACGTTAGCATGGCCATATTTATGTGAAACATTTCCGTACCTACAATGCTGGTATGAAGCACCTAATGATGTAATTGTTCCGTGTATCCCTCTCTCTATATATATATATATCTTGTGAATTAAATTGAAAAGAACTGGAGGGACTTGTTTCTAAGCCTTTAGAATTAAAGGAATGTCCCAAATGTGAGGACATTATATGAGATGTTTGTTTGGTATTCGTCTGGACTGGTGCCGACGTCATTTAGATACCGTTTTCACGACACAAGCGGGGTTTTTCCTCCGTTCCTTTACCACCAAAGACACCATAGCTCGCACAACAGAAGGATGTATTACAGACATAATTACATTATGGTGACCCTTATGATCCTCATCGCAATACTGAACGTTCGCTACGTTGAGATAACTCAGGCTGTCGGGGAAAAGATGAATGCTAGTACGTATGGGGAACGTGGTGAAGCCATTTGCTACATTTGCTCCGGAGCAAAAGTCGGCCTTTCTAGTTGTTTTCCTTTCTATAATGTTGGTACTTAGTGACGATCGCAAACGGTAACGATGTATTTACCTCCCTAGTCGTAAGTGATAAACAGCTGTTGTGATATACTATTTTTCTTTTCTTCTCATCCCCAGTGGCTCCTGTATTGTAAGAACCTATGACGTTAGCATGGCCGTATTTATGTGAAACATTTCCGTAGCTACAATACTGGTATATGAGGCACCTAATGATGTAATTGTTCCGTGCATCTCTCTATATATATCTTGTGAATTAAATTGAAAAGGACTGGAGGGACTTGTTTCTGTGCCGACGTCATTGAGATACCGTTTTCACGACACGGGATTTTTCCTCCGTTCCTTCACCGTCGAAGACACCATAGCTCGCACAACAGAAGGATGTATTACAGACATAATTACATTATGGTGACCCTTGTGATTCTCATCGCTATACTGAACGTTCGCTACGCTGGGATAACCCAGGCTGCCGGGGAAGAGATGAATGCTACTACGCAGGCCAGCGACAAAACGGACAGTTTCCACAACTCAACACTGCTGGGATCGGCTGGGATCTGTGACACCCTCTCGGCTACCAACAGCTCTGAGGTGCGAGAAAACGTCACTTCACAGGCCCCAGAGTGTCGCCAGAATGACACCTCCACACAGCCACCTCGAGATCCACTGGAAGGCCGAGGCCCTACCGGCGCGTTGTATGTTACTGTATGCCTGGGGGTCTGGTCTACCGTGACAAACAGCCTGCCCCTGGCAGCCATCATCAAGCACGAACAGCTCCACACGCCCGCCTACATCCTCATGGCTAATCTGGCGGCAAGTGACGTCTTGACCGGTGTAGCTTTCGTGTTTGGGGGAGGCTCAGTTTTGGTTGACATCTATACCGAAACCATTGACATTTCCGTCGACGTCTGGGCAACCCGTCTCCGCTTCACATCGCTCCTTCTCTCCGGCCTGTCCTCCGCCTACGGACTGCTGGCCCTGACGGCCGAGCGCTACTGGTTCATCGTGCATGGGATGACCTACGTCAACAACGTCACCAACGACAAGTGCAAGGTCGTGATTGCGATCGGTTGGCTGTGGTCTGTGCTACTGGCCATGTCGCCCAACGTCGGATGGCATTGCGCTGGTGTCGAGGAAGGCTGTCTTCCGTTTATCGGCGGGGGCCTGACCTACAGCTACGTGGCTGTTGTGCTCGTGTTCATGTTCATCATAATGACGGCAATCTTTCTCCTCAACGCGGGGGTGTTCTGGTGCGTGTGGAAGCACATGAACGCC